TTTCCAAGTAGTTATACATAAAGCCATGCTCTCCTAAGACATATCTTCCATCACCTGGATGTCCAGGATATAAGCAAGGTCCCCCCAGGGAAACAGATTTGCAGCACTTGGGTCGTGATATGCACAGGCCTTGGATGTGCCTGTGGATTTCTGTGGCACAATCTGCTTTTAATGGCTTTTTGCTCACTCTCTCATGTGCTCTGCAGCTAGATGGACCTCTTAGCTTCCCCTGGTGAGTCCCAGTAAACCATTCTAAAACATCGTTTTGTGCCCTAATAATGATACACATACTATCTCCTGGGGCGATAAAAAAAATTTGCTCAGTATCATGGTCCTTCTGAATTTTATGATTCAGATGTGTCTTTCTCGGTTTCTAAATCTGGTGTACCTGAGATCCTCCTTGCCCCCAAGCAGCACATGAACAACTTGGCACTGATACTCTTGCTGCAAAGATGAAGTGATATTGAGAGTTGTTTAAATTCACAGACTTTGGAGTCAGCTGACCAAACCTAGATTTGTATCTGTAACTCTACTACTACTTACTAAATGAGAGACCTTTGGCATATACGAGTAACATAAATTCTCTCAGACTGAGATTGTGCAACTATAAGGTAGAGAGAAATATTGTAGCACCCTCATGGGGTAGATGTAAGGATTTAATGAGATAAGATTTCTTTCACAATCCATGTTGCCTAATAAGTGATCAATTAAATTTAGCCATTGTTATTATTACCAAGGTACAACCTCTGAAGTACAATCCTCTGAGGCAGTTCATGTTGTTATCCCTACTTTAACTTGGAGAATGCAGGAATCACTTAGTTAACTGAGGAAATTTATATATATATATATATATATAATTTATTTATATATATATATATAGTGAACCAAGAGGAAAATTTCCCCTTTGTTCTCTGAAGTTTCACTGAAATATCAGTTTGCAGAAGGCAGATTAATTGGAGAAAAGGCATAGAAAGTTATTCATGCATATTTACAGGAGCCTTCAGAATGAAGACCCAAAGACCCCGGGGAAACTGTCCATTTTTTTGCTTCAGTTCAACAATGTATGGTCAACTGTGTGGAAATATGATTGGACAAAAAGGGTGTGATCTGATGCTGATAGACTGAGTGGGGAAACCCAGCAAGGCCTAACTGTCTAGGTTCTTCTTGGCCTCTCTGAGCAGCATTTCTTCCTTTTGGGCATGGTGCGGGGCCCTCTCTGAAATGGAGGTCATAGGACCTACAGGCAGATAAGGTAGGGAAGATCATATCTTTATCATCAATTTTTATACAGAAAAACAGAGGGAAAGTTAGAATCATACTTTTAGGTTTTTGGGAAAAGGGGATCTGGTTTCTATGTCTTATCTTGGGGAAGAGGAATTCTAGTTTCTAGCCGTGGGGAAGAATGGGACTGAGAAATAAGAGGGCAGGAGAAGGTCAGAGAAAAACTTTGCTTCTGAGGCTGTTTCTGAGGCTTTCATTTTGTGTTATACACAATAAATCAGCTAAGATTTACAGAGAATCACAAAGATAGTAAAGAGAATTCCTGTATACCTTTTATCCAACTATCTCCAATCTTAAATAATCCTGCACAGTTATGGTGTAAATTAGTCTTGGGATATCACTATTAGTTGACTCCTTTCAGATTTTTACTAGTTTTTCCATTGATGTCCTTTCTCTGTTTCAGGATCCAATCTACAATGCCACATTGCATCTAGAAGATAAACTTTTAGAGGGTTATTGTATTTTATTTTGTGACAGGTTTCACTCTGTTGCCCAGGCTAGAGTGCAATGGCACAATCACAGCAGCCTCAAACTCCTGGGCTCAAGTGATCCTCTTGCCCCAGCCTTCAGCATAGCTGGGACTACAGGCACACACCACCATGCCTGGCTAATTTATGCTTATTTTTTGTGGAGACAGGATCAAGCTGTATTACCCAGGCTGGTCTCGAACTCCTGGCCTCAAGCAATCCTCCTGTCTTGGCCTCCCAAAGTGCTGGGATTACAGGTGTAAGCCACCATGCCTGGCCCTTATATTTAATAGTTTGGTTTACATTCCCATTTATTTATTCTATTTTACTTTAATCAAGGGTGCAATACGTGTATATTGAAATCATCAATGAAACTAACTTTTAAAAAATGATGCATTGATCACTTATTTTATTGTTAAATTTAAAAAGTGAAAATGATGTGAGAGTGATCATGTGGAAGGATAAGCAAATGAAAATTCTATGAGTTTGACTGAGTAGAAGGATAACCAGACTGTAATTCACATGTTGAGATTTGTCCCTAAGCTCTACTCTCCCGCTTGAATGAACTATGGCAAAGTAGTTACATTTCCCATTTCTTGGATGTGATACTGTGAAGCAGGAATCACAGTATCTGTCAGAGAATTACCCTAAGGTAATGTTGAAAAGATAAAGTAAGGGGAAGAGTTTTAACTTTCTTCGGAGGCCATCATAGCAACTGCAAACTATGATGTGAATTAATACATAAATCTCCCCTAATCTGAGTGCCTGCAATAAAAAGATCTTGCCGATGAGAGGAATTCAGTCTACGGTCTTCATCTGTAAGAGGCAAGCTTTTGAGAAATGAAGATTTGCTTCAGGATTCCTGAAATTTCTGTCTCTAGCAATTCGCTTCCTAAATTTAAATGACATTTATGCACAATGTGAATCATGCATGATGTCCCTGCTAGGAATTAGCATTCTCCATTTTCATTGATTCTGTATTTAATGCATCACACCAATTGTTTGTTTTAAAAAGCTGTTCCTTAGAGTAGCTGAATGCTAGCCCTGCTCCCTTTTCTCCAGCCTAATTTCCTGAGGGCTCCTCCTACAGTGCTCAACTCTATGCAGAGTTTGTTACAAGGCCTTGGAGAGCTATGCTGGGAGAAGCAGTGTTTATTCCTGCTTTCATGTGCCACCTGCATGGCTTGAGGGACTTCAACCCTGGCCTTTCTGAGCCCTACACTAGCATGCCCTGTCTCAATCCCTCCATTAGAGGTCTTGATGTGGAGGCCAAGGGAAAACTTCCCCTTTGCCTTCTGAAGGTTCAGTGAAAATCAACTAGCAAAAGGCAGATTTAAGCCAGGCTCGGTGGCTCAGCCTGTAATCCCACTCTTTGAGAGGCCAAGGTGAGTGGATTGCCTGAGACCGCGGGTTCGAGACCTGCCTGGGCAACTTGGCGAGACCTCATCTCTACAATAAATCAAAAAATCAGCCGGGCATGGTAGCACATGCCTGTAATTCTGGCTACTCGGAAGGCTGAGGCGGAAGGATCGCTGGAGCCCAGCAGATCGAGGCTACGGTGGCCGGGAGCGGCCACTGCACTCCAGCCTGGGCGACAGAGTGAGACTCCAACTCAAAAAAAAAAAAAAAGGCAGATTCATAGAAGAAAAGACATACAAATGTATTATCATGCATAAGAGTCTTACAAAATATAAGAACACAAAAAAAATGGCCAGGTAGTTGATGCTTTTATACCACCTTGAGGTTGCAAAAAGAATGGGGGCTTGGATCCTGACAAAACAGGCTATGGGCGGGGGAGTAGAGGAGGCCTGGCTAGCAAAGGAGGTCTTGCTATGCAGATGAAACCTCCCAGGTAGCAGCCCTCAGAAAGAATAGATGGTGAGTGTCTCTTTCTAACCTTAAAGGTGCCAGACACTCAGTTAATCTTTCCTTGATCTGGACAAAAGAGGTCTCAGAGAAAGCTTAGCTGCATCAGTGCCCGGTTTCCTTTTCAAATGCAAATCCTTCCACCAAAGACTGCTTTGCAGGACTGCTTCTGTTTGTAGGTTATCAGAATAGCCAGCTGAAAGCATGTCAAAGAAGTATATTTTGGGGTGCAATAGTTTTGTTTTCTTCAATGACCATCTTCTGGCATTATCTGCTGACACTGATCTTTTCTGAACTCACCCTTCCAGCCTCTCCCAGTACCCTTTCGATGTTGTGTATAATTACATTCTAATTGCCACATACACACAAAGCCTGTTTTCCAGACTGCCCTGGAAGAGCTATAATAATAGCAATGTAATAAAATAATCGGAGTGATGATAAAGGACATTTTTTGTGTCCTTCTCTTGCAGACACTAGGCCTAACACTCACACAGAACATCGTGAGAATATGAGGCACAGAAGGGTGAAACTATTCTCCCAAGCACATGGGACTGGTGTATTTGTTTCCTATGGTTGCTGTAATAACTGACCACAAATTTGGTGGCTCCAAACAACACAGATTTATTTTGTCTTGTACTTCTGGAGGTCAGAAGTCCAAATGGGTCCTTCTGGACTAAGGTCAAGGAGCTGGCAGGGCTGTGTTCCTTTCTGAAGGCTCTAGGGGAGAATCTACTTTCTTGCCTTTTCTAGCTTCTAGAGGTTACCTTCATTCATTGGCTTGGGGCACCCTTCTCTGTCTTCAAAGTCAGCAGTGAGCATTTTGTAGTCTCTCTCTGTGATTGTAATCTCTGCTTATCTTTCCCTCTCTTTCCCTTGTTAGGGCCCTGTGATTACATTGAACCCACTGACAACCCACCATAATCTCTTCATCCCCAAATCCTGAATCACATCTTCAAAGTCCCTTTTGCCTTGTAAGGCAAAATTCTCATATCCTCAGGCTCCAAGGATTTGGGCATGGACACTTGGACACACCATTATTTTGCCTACCACAACCAGTAAAAAGTAGAAATGGAACTTGAATTTCCTTATTCTAGAGTCATTTATTGGAGTCTTTGTTGCTTTGAGATTTGAGTCTCCCTGATTACAAAGTCTTGCTTACAACCATCATGCAGTACAGATCATGTCACGCACAGTGGTGACAAGTCTCATGTATATTTTTTCTACTATAACATATACTATATTGCTCATGAAATACTCATGGAGTTCATATAATTAGAACACTTGGTTCTTCCACATTGACCACCCCACACTGAGCATGGAAAAGTATATTGAAGTGAGCATTGAAGAGATTGAAATCTCCCTGTTGCCTCTTTTTTGATATTTTAGGAGGAAAAGCAAACAACTGGGAAGGAGGTATCCGGATTCCAGGCATCCTTCGATGGCCCACGGTGATACAGGCTGGTCAGGAGATTGATGAACCTACTAGCAACATGGACATATTTCCTACAATAGCCAAACTCGCTGGATCACCCTTGCCTGAGGACAGGTACTCTGATTCAAGGGTGATTGGTATTGTCTAGTGTTTGCTGAAAATCACTGACATGAGGCAAATTGAATAATAGGAGAAAAGGCTTACAAATTTATTTAACGTGCATACACGTGAGCCTGTAGAATGAAGACCAAAAGATATATAGGAAATTGTCAATTTTTATTCCACAAAGTATGGACAGCCATGTAGAAATACGATTGGACAAAAGGATATGATCTAATGCTAATAGACTGAGTGCAAAATCGCAGCAAAGCCTGTCTGTCTATCTGGATTCATCCTGGCATCTCTGAGTGTTATTCCAATTCCTTCCTTCTGGGTGTGGGGCAGGACCCTTACTGGAATGGAGTCTTAGGACCTACAGTCAAACAAGGCAGGTCAGATAATTTTTTTTTTTTGAGTTGGAGTCTCACTCTGTCACCCAGACTGGAGTGCAGTGGCATGCTCCTGGCCACCACAGCCTCGACCTGCTGGGCTCCGGTGATCCTTCCACCTCAGCCTTCCAAGTAGCCAGAACTATAGGCGTGCACTACCACATCTGGCTAATTTTTGATTTATTGTAAAGACAAGGTCTCACCAAGTTGCCCGGTTGGGTCTCAAACCTGCAGACTCAGGCAATCCACTCACCTCGGCCTTCCAAAGTGCTGGGATTACAGGCTGAGCCACCGAGCCAGGCCCAGATAATTTCTTTACGGCCAGTTTATACACAGAAGGTGGAACGGAAATTTGAGTCATATTTTTAGGTTTTATGACTGAGTTTGTGAGAAAAACATTTTTAGTTTCTATGACCTGCTTTGGGGAAGAGGGATTCTAGGTTCTATGGCACCTCAGGTTAGAAAGGAACTGAGAGACAGAAGGGCAGGAGAAAATCAGAGAAACACTTTTTTGTCTGAGGCCTTCATTTTGGGATATTGTTTTCTGAGCCCCAACGATGGCATGCTACCTCTGGTTGGACTTGTTGTCTGTGTCCAGTTAAAGGAATTACTCATGGGTTTGTCAACGTAAAAACCCCTTTGTCTATCCTGTTATCCAAGAGGAGAATAAACTCAGAGGCACTGAACAATTTTCAGTGGCCAGGAATGTGAATGGCTTATGTTTCATTTGGCCTTCCCTTTCATCATTCTGCTGATGCTGTTATTCTCATAGGTCTGTCCCTGTCATTGACTTGCCATCAGGCAACTGGGCACCTGCCCCTTTGACCTCTCACATTTGAATCCCATACCTTCTTTGGCCTTACTCAGAAGCTCTTTGTTGTAACAGCTAGAAATGCAGCTGATTCCCCAACTAAAGGCCCTATTTCCCAGCATGTCTTCATTGAGCAAGTTCTAAATAAAATGTCTTTCTCTTAAATTTAAATACAACTTCATATGACATTGCCAATGATTCCTTCCAAAGTGTTATTACCAATCTGAGGAGTTTTAAGTGAAGCATGCTGATTAATTGTTTTCATTAGTTTGGTGGCAGGCCAGGCTAATGTCATGCAGGCAGCTGCAAATCTAGTTTAAATTCAACTGTCATCAGAAGGAAGAGGAAAGGGGAAACCAAAGACAAAAACAACAGCTCTACCACAGCGAGTCCCAAGATAGGTTTATCCACCTATCTGTTTTCAAGCTTGTTCCTTACTGGTTTCAACTCTGTGTTAGGTGTAATGTTTGGAGATACTGAAAGAGGCACAGGACAAAGGGCCAGTATAAAGCAAGCGTTTATTGGGGGAGAAACTCCCGGGTGAGGTCCCATGGTCCAGAAAGATGGGCCAGGGGAGTTGCGCCCAAGGAGGGGCAGGCTTGGGTTTTTAAGGGTGCTGTATTCGGGGAGGGTGTTGGGGGCGGCAGTGAAGCGGGGAGACAAAGCGTTGCATCTGGCGTGGGCTGGAAAGTTTCTGTCTGGCCCTTCTCAGCAGCTGCCAGCAGGTTCCAGGAAGCTGGTATGTGCTTTGTGGGTTTGGGTGGAGGGGCGCATAGGGGATCAGTGGGTGGAGGGGCAGATGGGGGAAGGTGAGTGCTGCTTCTCCCCGAGCCTAACATTAGGTATATACCCCACCCCATCACACACACAGGAACACACACACAAATGAGAAACACAGCATTCATAGTTCTGTTATTCTCAAACTCTGTGGTCTCAAAACCCCTTAATGTTCTTCAGTGATTAAGGACCCCAATAATTTGTGTTTATGTGAGTTATGTCAGTCAATGCTTATATTAGCAATTAAAACTGAATTATTTTAAAATGCAAACACACCCTAAGCACACATCCCATTGACCCATATACTGATGATGTTGTCATCCACCCTGCAGCCCCAGGGAAAGTCCACTGCATGTGCCTGTGAGAGTTATAGTAAGAAAGACAAAGAATGCCTCCCAATTATTGTGAAAATGATGTTGGCCTCCCAGACCTCCTGAAAAAGCCTCAGGGATCCTTGAATGTCTCTGGTTCATACTTTGAGACTAGCAGACACTTTGGATAAGAGCAGAGATTTTAGAGTCACACTGATTGGGTTCATATACTTGTCTCCAATGTAGGTTAAGTATGGAAACTTCCTGGGCCTTAATTTCTTGTCTGGAAAATGGGTTCAAAAACAGCACCAACTTTACAGGGCTGATGTGAGAATTAAAAATATCTGTGCATTTAAAGTACAGTACAGAGAAGGCCATTTTTGTCCCATCCACCATATTGGGGTCGTAGTAAAATGTATATAAGTATAGTTCTTTTCTCTTCCATATTTAATATTCACCTGAAGTCTTAATGTCATAAAACCTGAAGGCTGAAGGGAACTTTTAAGATCTTCTACTCCAAAATATTATTTTTTCCATTCTAGTGATGGAAAACCTGGCAATGGTAACTCACAGAAAATCTTTTGTTATATAAAGCTCAAAAGCTCACTCCCTATTTCATCTCCTCATTGGCCCTAGTTCTTACCTTTGGAATAAACCTTAATACTTCCTCAGGTAGCTAAAACAGAGTGTTCAGGCAGTCTCGTTGATTACATTTTTCTCTCATGGCCCATAATATTAAAACCATCACTGCTCTTCATTTTCATAATATCTTTTAATGATTTTCTACCCAGTTGGGGAAAAGCAAAGTAAGAAAAAGTTTAGCGGCAAAGAAGAAAACCCATAAAGGGAAATCTTGCTGCTTCCACCTGCTATCTACTCTAGTCTGAGGCTGATGGAGGTCAATCTGTATTTCTTCTATGTGCTCAATGAAGGAAATAGCCTCCCTCTTAGGTAGACCCACGTTTTTTGTGTGTGAGCTTGTGTCATCAGTAGAATGAGTTTTCAGTATTGAAGATTTTGCTTTGTTTCTGATTCCTATCATGGATCCCAGTGGTGCTTACTGACCTAAGTCAACCCATGGATATTGTCTCTGTGTTGAGGTCCAAGCTCCGTTTTGGTACTAGTCCAGCTATAAAATACTTTTATCATCCTAGACACAACAGATACAATATAGATTAGACAATGGGTATCTGCTTCTAAGTGCCTTGTGGGAATAAAATGATCAAGCAGTATCTTATTTAAAGTATATTACCAACCAGGTCCAGTAATATTCTTAGGTATTTGTCTCAGACACTTTGAACATTTAGAGCAGTGTTTTCCTCTAGAAGCCATTATCGATGCCTGGAGACATTTCTTATTGTCTTGGCTTAGGGGATACTACTGGCTGCTAAGCATGCCATAATGCACAGGACATCCCCTATGACAATGAATTATCTGACCCAATATGTCTGAGGTTGACAAATCCTGCCCTAAAATGTATTATTGCTCTTTTACGAAAAATATTGTTATAATGGAAAATCCCATTAAAACTTTTCAATAAAAGTATATAGATAATATCCTCATGTCTATATCCATCTATAGATATGATACACAGATAAATAGTCTTAGCTCTTTCCTGATAAGGTTGGTAGAACTCAGCTTTCTCAATTTCCTGCTAGAGTAATATTAAATTTACATTTCTCTGGAGAAAAAACTCATTCAGAATGTTGGACCCAAGCTGTTTGATGAACACTTAACAAGGTGCCCTCACTTCTTTCTGCATGTTTTGTCTGAAGAAGAGAATTTCTGTTCAGCAGACTCCATCCTTAAGCATAACCCTGTAATTCTCCAGAAGCATTTTGGGTCTAATGGAAGCCTTTCCTGGCCAACCAAAGATTGGTGAGAGATCAAAAGCCCTTAGATCCAGAACTTCTACTTAAGTAAAAAAGTTAGTCCAGAGAAGCAAAAGAAATTTTTTTTTTTTTGCTTTGCAGCATCTTAACACTGCAGTGAGAATAATAATCTAATTTAGCCCCATAGTGTGTTTACATGAGATTTCTCTCTGGCAGTGACTTTTTCTTTCATATACACTAGAGTGATTCATTTGCATTCAGTGGCATGACTTATCAAAAGAACTTTCAATGTCCATCACCTTGGGCACATTCAGTAAATTCATTCATTCTCCCCCTTGTCTCCAAGTAAGCTGATTCTGAAAATAAATGGAGGGCAACCTTTTTTTTGTGCTATAAAATGCAGGCAACAACAGCTTATAAAAAAAAAAAAAAAAAGAGCCTAATAGCTAAATCTATTAATTCATTAAAATGGAAATCCTTTCTGTTTGTCTCATGTTTGCAAGCTGATGCAATATTGCCATGGTGAGACTCGTCCATGCCCTTTCCCAAGATTGGTAATAACGAATTGCAACAAGCCACAGCTGGTTAAACCTTTTAAAAACCAGCTAAATTCTAGCCATAGACCATTCAGCTGGGAGGGAAGGACATGGAATGCTGGCAACCTCAAGAATCAAATTTTAGAGGTGAAATCTTTTAGATTTTCTTATTTATAATTTAAAGAAAATTAAATAATAATTTTTTAGGAAAAAATAATACTTTAATGCTCGACATGGCTTTTTTCCCCTTTATTTTATTTTATTTTATTTTATTTTAAAGATGCGGGTTATAAATCATGACTAGGTACATCCGTGGTCATCATACAGGTGAAGCTTGGGCCTCCCATTGGTCCTCACTCTCCTGGTTTAGGATCAGTACCTTTATTGATGTTATGTACATACCTCCCTCCCCCCTCCCTCCCCTGGCAGTGTCCACTACTGCCAATCTCTTTTTTTATAGTATTATTATAAATGTTCAGAGTCCACTTATGAGTGAGAACATGCAGTATTCACTTCTTTGTTTCTATGATAGATCACTGAGTATTAATGACTCTAAGTCCATCCAAGCTGCTGTGAAGTTCATAATTTTGTCCTTCTTTATGGCTGTATAATATTACATCATGTATATATATGTACAATATTTTTTTAAAAATCCAATACATTTCTTTTTTTTTTTTTTAAGTTTTTTTTGGGGGTGGCTTGCCAGGTATATTTTCTTTTTTTTTTTTTCTTTTTTTAATATATATTTTTTTATTTTAAAATTGTGGGGTACCCAATCCATTTTTGATAGGTAGCACAGTTGATACCGTGTTTTTGCTATTGTGAATGGTGCTTCAATAAACATGTGTGTGCAGATATCTTTACTGTAGAATGATTTGAGTTCCTCTGGGTATATTCCCAGAAGGGGGATTGCTGGGTCATATGGAAGGTCGATTTTTAGACCTTTTAGAAATCGCCATACTGTTTTCCACAGAGGTTGTAATAATTTACACTCCTACCAATAGTGTATAAGCATTCCCTTTTCCCCGCAACCTCTCCAGCATCTGTTGTTTTCTGAATTATTAATGACTGCCATACTTTTTTTTTTTTTTTTTTGAGTTGGCATC